TTTGTGAGGGATCGGAGACAAATTTTATGCTTTCATTGTATGCTTTCACTTTGTATCTATTGGAAAAAACATTGGGTGCTAGAGATGGTGTTTACAAACAAGTCATCCTAGGCAGGAGACGGAGTTATTGCGGCACTGGACATTTGGAGACTGAAATATGAATGAGATGGACATCTGGATACCATCGTAAAAGTCTAAATAATGAAAGTGCTGAGGGAAACTGTCCTGGGATCCAATCACCAGAATTCCTTCTGGCAGTAATGATTTATAAGACGCTTTACAAACATCAACTAATGCATCCTCTCTGCGGTAGGTAAACTGGTATCACTGTTGCTATTATACAGATGAGAAAACTGTGGCAGAGAGGTGAAATAAGTTGTGTAAAACCATAAAGATGCACTGCGAGAGCAGATATTAAAATTCAGGAGATTTCCAGTTCTGGGCTCACACTACACTCGCTAATATACAAATAAACCTTTCTTTATGGGAGAGTGCCTACTTTGAAATAATCCCTGTCTCATCCCTCTTTCCAGTGCTGCCAGCTGTCTCACTGAAAAGAAATAAAGTGAAACTCCAGTAGTTAAAAATATTGGAAACAACCAGTTCCTCCTATAATGTAACCGCACATTTTCCCTTCCTCCAGAAGGGTCCCTGAAGAGCAACTCTTCACATCCACCACGACTCCAAGGAGGCAACTGTCCCTCCAAACTGCCACGGAACCTTCTGATTCCAACATTCCATCTCTCCTTCTCCTGTTGAAGGGGCATCGTTCAAAACACTTCGTGTGCTGCTGTGAATATCACTGCGGGGAGGGAAGGTGATTCGGTCCACCTGTACCCTGTTATGCAACAGGGTGTTCTGCTGTCATGCTCTTAGCACAATTGTTGGAATGCATTCATGGCAGTGATGTGCCCTGATGCCATAACTGCAACAAAAATATCTGAAGATGGACATGACACTGGATGACTGCTTGAAACTGGATTCTTTCTCTGGGCCGTGGCACTCAACAGCACATTTCAATCCAAATAAATTGCATGATGCAGCATGAAGCAGCTGCTGTTCTGAAAACAGCAGATACCCTCAGTTAACTCCTGACTGGGACCATAGTAATGAGGCATTACTACAATTTTAAAACTACTTCCTATGGCATCTTTGATAAATACTAAAATCTAAACTTTTTCATGTCAGGGCTCTGAATACCCTAATGTTGGCTTCAATGTAGTTTGCCAGGGTTGGGATGAGATTCTGGTAGTGACCAGTGTTAGGATATAGACATTCAGGCCTGTCTGTAAAGGCCTATACTCTAAGAATTTAGGTGTATTCTTATCACTTGGCTAGTTATAGAGGTACAAAAGAAAGAATCAAAATCACTGTCTGCCAGTGTAAGGGTCTTCTCTTACTGTGACAGTCTGAGGCCCTGTTCTTAGGCTAAGGCCTTTGGCTAAGCAACAGAGGCAGCCATAAGCTGGAAGCGAACGGTCACATTCCAAACTGGTCACATTCCAAACTAGTCACATTGAAAGAAGGTACTATTGGGCTGTTAGGAATACAATCCTGTCCTGATAGTGCCTATCACCTCCAGAGAAAGGGAAGTGCCTAGAAAATGTAAAAGGAAACTTAGTTTGATAGCATCCTATCTGGCAAGAACTCACTTATCAATAGCTGGGATGTGAAATCCTCACTTCTGTATTGTTTTGTCATTATAGTTCCCACTTTGCTATTGTTTGTCTGTATAATCTCTGTCTGGTTCTGTGATAGTTCTTGCTTGCTGTATAATTAATTTTGCTGGGTGTAAACTAATTAAGGTGGTGGGATATAATTGGTTAAATAATCATGTTACAATATGTTAGGATTGGTTAGTTAAATTTCAGGAAAATGATTGGTTAAGGTATAGCAAAGCAGAACTCAAGTTTTACTATATAGTCTGCAGTCAATCAGGAAGTGAGTGGGTGTGGGGGTGGGTGTATTGGTGGGGGAGATGGGAACAGGGAATGTGGGTAAGGAAATTAGAATCATGTTTTGCTAAAGGGGGAGATGGGAACAGGGAATGGGGGTGGGGAGATTGGAATCATGTTTTGCTAAAAGGGGAAATGGGAACAGGGAATGGGGGTAAGGAAATTGGAATAATGTTTTGCTAAGGGCAGGAATGGGAACAGGGACACAGGTGTAAGGCTCTGTGGTGTCAGAGCTGGGAAGGAGGATACTAAGGAAGGAAACTGAAATCATGCTTGCTGGAAGTTCACCCCAATAAACATCGAATTGTTTGCACCTTTGGACTTCGGGTATTGTTGCTCTCTGTTCACGCGAGAAGGACCAGGGAAATGAGTGGGTGAAGGAATAAGCCCCCTAACAACCACTAGTCTTCAAAATCTCAATATAATAATTAAAACACAAAAATCTTTGCATGTGGAATGGACAAGTTAAGCTATTATAAACTGATGGGCTCTGCATTAGCTGTAATCTCTAGGGAAAAGATACATAATTATGGATGGCAAAATGAGGATATCTGCTCACTATGTGTCCAGCAGTCAAAAATGTGAATGAGCTATTAGTATGTATTATAATGCTATCATGCCTGGAGCCATACCACCAGATAGCATGTGAGCCAGTACTGAATTGGAAACCAGAGTGTCAGGTCGTACTCTGCTGCTGGAGTTGCTTTCTTTCAGATAAGATAGATAACCAAGCTCCTCGTCAGTAAAGATACCATGACACGGTTTGTAAGTGCTAAATCCAGTGTATTGAATTAAATTCAAACCTAACAATCTCTCAGTAACAGCCTTCTAAAATCGTTGATATAGGCCAGAGTTACAAAAGGTTATGTACCTTTTAATGGGGGGGGGGGGGAGGGAGTACTATGCACTGAATGCAGCGGCCATTTTACTTTGTATAGTCAAATCCAAATGAAACATATCAACCCAAACCAATCAGCATGGACTAACATAGTCAATTAATAAAACATACAAAAGGAGACATCTAAAATAGAGATCAGGATACACAACCGGCTTCCCATTCATTTACTGAACATTTGTCAATCACTACTATCTCTGAACCACAAGAGCTTAGTGATTCCTTGGCTACTTCTTACTCCTATTCATCATTGCCCTGTCATCCCTTTATAGCAGCTATGTTGCTTATCACACAAAGTAATTGTTTTGCTGTTACATTGTGCTCTCTCCAACTGTTTGTTGCAGTTACTTGTTGTTTCTTGTCTTATACTTAAATTATAAGCACATTGGGGCAGGGACCATTTCTTCATTATGTGTGTGTACAGTGCTTCACACAACTGGGTGCTGATCCCTGATGGGGGACCCTCAGATGCTCCTTTGATACAAATAAATAACAGTATTGCCAACCCCAACATTTTAAGAATTATGAGATTTTAAATAAAATTGAATCATATTCTTTGGTCTGACTTGTGATTTGATCTTCCCATGCCCCAGTATATTTACATGCAACAATGACAGTGTTACCAACTTTCACAAATGTATACCAGATAGGTAGGGCCCTACCATATTAATGGTCCATTTTGGTCAATTTTACAGTCATAGGATTTTAAAAATAGTAAATTTCATGATTTTAGCTATTTAAATCTGAAATTTCATGGTGTTGTAATTGTAGGGGTCCTGACCCCAAAGGAATTGGGGGCGGGGGAGGGATCCGCAAGATTATTGTGGGGGGAGGAGGTTGTGGTACTGCTACTCTTCTGCATTGCTGCTGGTGGTGGCACTGCCTTCAGAGTTGGGCAGCTGGTGACTGGTGGCTGCTGGCCGGGAGGCCAGCTCTGAAGGCAGAGCCACCGTCAGCAGCAGTAAAGAAGGAAGGATGGTAGCGCCACCCTTACTTCTGCGCTGCTGCCTTCAGAGCTGGCAGAGCCTCAGTCAGCAGCCGCCACTCTCCGGTTGCCCATCTCTGAAGGCAGCAGTGCAGAAGTAAGGGTGGTGTGGTATGGGATTGCCACTCTTAGTTCTGCACTGCTGCAGGCAGGGTGCTGCCTTCAGAGCTGAGCGCCCAGTCAACAGCCCCCGCTCTCAGGCTGCCGAGCTCTGAAGGCAGTGCAGAAGTAAGGGTGGCAATAACACAACCCCCTAAAATAACCTTGTGACCCCCCTGTAACTCCCTTTTAGGTCAGGACCCCCAATTTGAGAAATGCTAGTCTTCCCCATGAAATCTGTATAGTATAGGGTAAAAGCACAAAAAAGACCAGATTTGATGGGGGGAGACCAGATTTCATGGTCTGTGACGCGTTTTTCATGGCCGTGAATTTGGTGGGGCCCTACAGATAGGGAAAATTTAGGTCTCACTGCAGAAGGTCTTGCTACAGGACTCAGCTGAGATTGGCTCCCCATTGTATTAGGCACTGACACAGGACCTGTCCTGAAGAGTTTACAAGCTAGTCCAAAACACACTGCATTTTAGTAGAAACACTGTTGGCTTTATAGTTAATAGTTTACCCTGCCCTTTCTGTCTTATATTTGAACCATTTGTTTCATTGTATTTGTTTGAACCTGTTGTTGTTTAATCATTCAAATTATTTTAAATTGGCTTTATTATTTTACATTGATTTTATATTATGGTACAGCAACCTGAATGCCTTTGTGGTGAGGAGCAGAGTGGTACTTAATGACATTATTTCTTTTATTATAAATTAAGGTCGGATGATGATGATTATGCGGGGGCAGAGGATACCAGGCTAGAATGGCCTATTAGGTCTGTTCTGTATTAAATCCTCTCCCCAGACTTAACAGCATCTAAACAGCTGGATCTAGAGTAGACTGAGCCCCAGATCCCCTCACGTCTGGCTGTGCCCCTGGACAGATTTGTGTGAGGCCCGAGATAGCAGAAACTTTAGCTTTAGTTCAGTAGGAGGCTCGTGGAAAGTAAATGGTTAACAATATCTTTGCCTATAGCAAGATGGCGACCGGAGTTCTCTCCTCCCTCCCTGGGACGTGAGGGGCGGCCGGGATCGTGCGTGTGCGGCGCATGGCGATGACGCACATTGGGGGCGCGGAGTAGTGGAGTTTGTTGCGCTGCTGGAGGCGAACATGGCGGGCGTCGCTGATGCCGCCGCTCCCGGCAGCAGCGGGGACGGGAGGCGAGGCGGCGCCCCGGAGCAGCTGCAGCAGCAGGACGCGGGAAGGGGGGAGCGGAAAAGCAGCTGTTCGAGCGGCGAGTCGCGGCCGCCTGTCGGCGGCTCGGGGCAGCCGCCACCGCCGCAGCGAACCGAAACCCTGGGCTTCTACGAGAGCGACCGGGAGCGGAAGAAGAAGAAAAGCGTCTCAGGTGAGGGGCAGGGGCCCGGCTGGGGCTCGGCGCCGGGAAGGGAGGAGTTGGGGCGGGGAGCTGGGGCTGAAGGGCGGAGAGAGAGGCCGGTGGGGTTGAAGTTAGCGAGGGGAGAGGCTGGGGGTGAGGAGCGTGTTGAGTAGGGGGGTCCCCAGGGAGGCCGCGAGTGCATCTGTCCCTTCCAACTGGCTGGACTGGGGGAGCCTTCCCGGGACCCCGAGAGCAGCAGGCTCTGACGCGGAGCCTTCAGAGAGGGAGTTTGGTTCCGAGCTGTCAGAACGGTGGTCATGTGAGTGCTGAGCTAGTAAGTGTCTCACTGGTGCACTCAGCAAACACTCTGTGTAAAGTCTGCGGCCAAAAGTGTTCAAACGTGGGTGCCTAAAGTCAGCCTCTTACGTTTGGTTTTAGGCTACTAAATGAACGTGGTCTGGTCAATCCTCAGCTTCTAAATTCTGCATATCGCTTTAAGAGCGTTTTAGGCACCCATGGTTGAAAATTTTGGCCAGAGACTTTAAAAACTGTGCAACATAGTTCAAATATGGGTGGTATGTAGCATCTGTGGTAGCTTAAGTGACGTAAGATGACTTTGTGGACTAGTAAACAATGTCGTCTTAGTCATTACATCTGCTTATTTTTTCTTTATACTTTGGTTTGGTAAGTGACATACCTTTAAAAAAAGACCTAAGTGGTTTAAGTCTTTCATTCAAATTTATAGTAGTGTTCAATAAAGGAGAGTGGAATAGTGGCATTTCTATATAGTTTAATGTAATGGGTACAATGATAAAAAGATCAACTGCAATTGATAAGTATTATAAATCAATGTTAGGAGAAGTCAGGGGATAATTTATTGCTATAACTTCAGCTAAGAAAACTATTCCACAAAATAGTGTACTGTTTTCCAAACTAATCTTACAGAGATTCAGATCTGGACAGGTACTGTGTTTTGTCTATTCTACTGTTCAGGTGTGTTTGTCCAGTGTTCTCTGTCACTTACTGAATAAACAGTTTTTGATAAATGAATTTGCTTAATACAGAATATTGTAAATAGAGAAATCACAGTATTTAGTCTGTAGAACAAAATATAAGTATTGTATATTGTGTAAGCCTCCAAAAATATAATTATGCATTATTAATATTTGTCTTCTTCAGTTTAGCTACATTTAATGTAAGGAAAATGTAACAATTTTTGCCATTAAGCTACAACTGTATGAAGACTTACTCTGGAATTGCTGATGTTTCCAAGTCCTGTATTGTGTCATCTTTAGAAGAAACAGATAAAGCTTTTATCATAAAAATTAAAAAAATTAATTTAGTGTAGTTTATTGTGTTGGTGGTTCAGATTTAATTTTTAAGATTCCAAATATTGATATATATATGAACTGTTAACTTAATACCTTGCTAAAAATGGCTTTTGAAAACAGGCTTGAAGAAGAAATCAAACTTTGAGTCTGTTCATCTCCCGCTTTATGGATTTAAGCATAACTTTACATAACAATAAACATTAGAATAATTGAAATCATTACTCTGTTTTCTAAACTGTTTAGTAAAAGCTGAATTATTTCCATTAAGCTTGACTAGTGTTATATCAGCCTCAAATTCTACTGCATTCCTGACAACTGTATTATGTCATAAGATTTATAGCATCATTGTGCCTTTGTGGTATTGATGAAATTGCATTAACATTAAATCACTACAACTCTACTGATTTAGCTTGATTACAATATTACAAATTCTTTCATAGTAAAATGGAAATGGAATGTTATATTTAGGATTTATACTGATGTACCCAAAAGGTTGTTGAGTAAATAGTATGTTTAGGTATCTTTATAAAACATTTTCCTATGCAGAAAAAATACAAAACATATATTTTTAACATTAGTTTTGATTAACATTTAAATTCAAGTATATAAGAGCCAATAGTTCATAATGGATTTTAAGAATAAAAACACCTTTATTTAGAAAAAATACAATAAACTGTCTTTGCTTAATGTTTACTTATCTTGATATAATAACTAAGGGAACTTCACTTATATCTGTCTCTAGCAGTATGCTCAATATTGTACAAGTTCCCAAAATTAAAAATAGTTCCTTCCGTTATAAGCAAGATAGCTAGACAGGATGTTCTGGGGAGGCCACAAGAGGAAATAACTGATTTTTCTGAAGCTTGTATTGTCATATTGATTCACTTCTGTGGGCATTGTGAAATAAGTGTATGTTTAAGATGGATTCAAGTTAAGAGAAGGTAGCAGCTTGACATTTTGGAAATGACAAAACAATTTATATGTAATGGGAGTGTAGAGTGAGCCATAGATAAGGTAATGTTTACATTTTTATAAATCGGTTTCTCCTTTTATACTTAGTGTTTATATTATATTTATCATGTGAGTATCTACATGTTGCAGTTTACTTTAGGTAAATCAGTATCTTTGTCCTTTAAAGAAAGTCAGTTTTAACTTCTTACATTGGAGGGAGCTAATGCTTTGAATATCAAATTCTTCAGTCTAGATTTGTCCATTGAGTCCTTGTTTTCCCTTCTGCTGCTGCCGATTCTCAATTCTCGCCTCAGGTTGGGAAATGGCAGTAGGGATGTAACATGTATTTTGGGCAGTCAGGATGAGGATAGAACTGGCATACGGTTGGTAGTTACCATTCGGATCATGAGAAAAGCACGTGTGGTCCTGACAACACTGATGAAAGTTCTTTTTGAACCTCCTCTCCATTCCTATGACTTTGGGTTTTTTATACAGAAGGTTATTTTCTGGATGGCAATGCCTCTGGCTCTCAAAATACGTTAGCTTTGGCTCCCAGTCTCTTATCCACAGTATACCGGATTTAACAAAGATAAAGTGGTGGTGTAGACTAGTTTGATTCCTTTCCAAGGTGATGTCAGATTTCCACCTTAAGCCTATTATCCTGCCAACTCCCTGCATCCACATGCCTATCCATCTTGATGAGGCCCTTCTCGAAATGCTCAATGTTAAAGATCCTTGGGGTCCTATTTGGAGCAGAATAGAGCCCTCATAAAGTCCACCCAAGTACTTTTTTTCAGTTCACACGAGTTCATTGAGGAATACTGTTACAAAGAGAAAAGGAGTACTTGTGGCACCTTAGAGACTAACCAATTTATTTGAGCATAAGCTTTCGTGAGCTACAGCTCACATTTTGCAAATACAGACTAACACGGCTGTTACTCTGAAACCTGTTACAAAGAGGACCACGTCTACATGACTATCTGATTGCATTTCATGTTGCTTTGACCTATATGGTCTGAACTAGACAGCTATGTCACTCTGCCTGAGCCCAGCCTGCCTTAGTGATGTTTCCATTATCATGGACTTCTGAAAAGCAGTTAAAGTTTTTCTCCCCATTTACCAAAAGAGGTTTTGTTTTGCTTTAGGATGTCCATTATTTTCAGTTGACTAAATTTTTACATGACCCCCCCCCAGTCATTCTACAGTCTTGTATGCTGTTCTTGATACTGAGTTTTGAGAAGACTCTTAGTCCTCCTTGTGATGTATATTTTAAAATATATAAACCTACCTGTTAACTGTGAACCTTGCCCTCATTGCTTATTTGTTCTCATTTTCTCTTCCGCTATCCCTGAGGCTTCTTTCTTTCTGGGAAGGAGAATTCTGCATAGATACCTTTTGGAGAAGGAAAATTGCTTGCTTGTATTTTTTGCTTCTCTCAAACTAACCCTTGCAGGATTCCCACTCACCTGCCCATCTTCCCTCAGTTTGGAGGGTATTTGTTGAAGTGGGGTTTTTTGCCTTGCAAAATGCTTTGCAGTTATTTTTGAGGCACATTTCTATCTTACATTTACATTGTTTTGGGAGATTTGCCTCCTGCAAGGAGTGTTATGAGGAGACTCATACTTTGCAGGAGTGATGCACGATAGCTAAGGCTAAGATTTTGTCATGGAAGTCACGGAATCTGTGGGTATGTCTACACTACGGAATAAGGTCGAATTTATAGAAGTCGGTTTTTTAGAAATCGGTTTTATATATTCGAGTGTGTGTGTCCCCACAGAAAATGCTCTAAGTGCATTAAGTGCATTAACTCGGCGGAGTGCTTCCACAGTACCGAGGCTAGAGTCAACTTCTGGAGCGTTGCACTGTGGATAGCTATCCCACAGTTCCCGCAGTCTCCGCTGCCCATTGGAATTCTGGGTTGAGATCCCAATGCCTGATGGGGCTAAAACATTGTCGCGGGTGGTTCTGGGTACATATCGTCAGGCCCCCGTTCCCTCCCTCCCTCCATGAAAGCAAGGGCAGACAATCGTTTCGCGCCTTTTTTCCTGAGTTACCTGTGCAGACGCCATACCACGGCAAGCATGGAGCCCGCTCAGGTAACCGTCACCCTATGTCTCCTGGGTGCTGGCAGATGCGGTACGGCTTTGCTACACAGTAGCAGCAACCCCTTGCCTTGTGGCAGCAGATGGTACAGTACGACTGGTAGCTGTCATCGTCATGTCCGAGGTGCTCCTGGCCACGTCGGCTGGGAGCGCCTGGACAGACATGGGCGCAGGGACTTAATTTAGAGTGACTTGACCAGGTCATTCTCTTTAGTCCTGCAGTCAGTCCTATTGAACCGTTTTATGGTGAGCAGGCAGGCGATACGGATTGCTAGCAGTCGTACTGTACCATCTTCTGCCAGGCAGGCAAGAGATGAGGATGGCTAACAGTCGTACTATACCATCTTCTGCCAGACAGGCAAGAGATGAGGATGGCTAGCAGTCGTACTGTACCATCTTCTGCCGAGCAGCCATGAGATGTGGATGGCATGCAGTCCTTCTGCACCGTCTGCTGCCAGCCAAAGATGTAAAAGATAGATGGAGTGGATCAAAACAAGAAATAGACCAGATTTGTTTTGTACTCATTTGCTTCCCCCCCTCCCCTGTCTAGGGGACTCATTCCTCTATGTCACGCTGCAGTCACTCACAGAGAAGGTGCAGCGAGGTAAATCTAGCCATGTATCAATCAGAGGCCAGGCTAACCTCCTTGTTCCAATAAGAACAATAACTTAGGTGCACCATTTCTTATTGGAACCCTCCGTGAAGTCCTGCCTGAAATACTCCTTGATGTACAGGCACCCCTTTTGTTGATTTTAGCTCCCTGAAGCCAACCCTGTAAGCCGTGTCGTCAGTCGCCCCTCCCTCCGTCAGAGCAACGGCAGACAATCGTTCCGCGCCTTTTTTCTGTGCGGACGCCATACCAAGGCAAGCATGGAGGCCGCTCAGCTCACCTTGGCAATTAGGAGCACATTAAACACCACACGCATTATCCAGCAGTATATGCAGCACCGGAACCTGGCAAAGCGATACCGGGCGAGGAGGCGACGTCAACGCGGTCACGTGAGTGATCAGGACATGGACACAGATTTCTCTGAAAGCATGGGCCCTGCCAATGCATGCATCATGGTGCTAAAGGGGCAGGTTCATGCTGTGGAACGCCGATTCGGGGCCCGGGAAACAAGCACAGACTGGTGGGACCGCATAGTGTTGCAGGTCTGGGACGATTCCCAGTGGCTGCGAAACTTTCGCATGCGTCAGGGCACTTTCATGGAACTTTGTGACTTGCTTTCCCCTGCCCTGAGGCGCATGAATACCAAGATGAGAGCAGCCCTCACAGTTGAGAAGCGAGTGGCGATAGCCCTGTGGAAGCTTGCAACGCCAGACAGCTACCGGTCAGTCGGGAATCAATTTGGAGTGGGCAAATCTACTGTGGGGGCTGCTGTGATGCAAGTAGCCAACGCAATCAAAGATCTGCTGATATCAAGGGTAGTGACCCTGGGAAATGTGCAGGTCATAGTGGATGGCTTTGCTGCAATGGGATTCCCTAACTGTGGTGGGGCCATAGATGGAACCCATATCCCTATCTTGGCACCGGAGCACCAAGCCGGCGAGTACATAAACCGCAAGGGGTACTTTTCGATAGTGCTGCAAGCTCTGGTGGATCACAAGGGACGTTTCACCAACATCAACGTGGGATGGCCGGGAAAGGTGCATGATGCTCGCATCTTCAGGAACTCTGGTCTGTTTCAAAAGCTGCAGGAAGGGACTTTATTCCCAGACCAGAAAATAACTGTTGGGGATGTTGAAATGCCTATAGTTATCCTTGGGGACCCACCCTACCCCTTAATGCCATGGCTCATGAAGCCGTACACAGGCAGCCTGGACAGTAGTCAGGAGCTGTTCAACTACAGGCTGAGCAAGTGCAGAATGGTGGTAGAATGTGCATTTGGACGTTTAAAGGCGCGCTGGCGCAGTTTACTGACTCGCTTAGACCTCAGCGAAACCAATATTCCCATTGTTATTACTGCTTGCTGTGTGCTCCACAATATCTGTGAGAGTAAGGGGGAGACCTTTATGGCGGGGTGGGAGGTTGAGGCAAATCACCTGGCTGCTGGTTACGAGCAGCCAGACACCAGGGCGGTTAGAAGAGCACAGGAGGGCGCGGTACGCATCATAGAAGCTTTGAAAACCAGTTTCATGACTGGCCAGGCTATGGTGTGAAAGTTCTGTTTGTTTCTCCTTGATGAAACCCCCCGCCCCTTAGTTCACTCTACTTCCCTGTAAGCTAACCACCTGCCCCTCCTCCTTTCAATCACCGCTTGCAGAGGCAATAAAGTCATTGTTGCTTCACATTCATGCATTCTTTATTCATTCATCACACGAATAGGGGGATGACTACCAAGGTAGCCCAGGAGGGGTGGTGGAGGAGGGAAGGAAAATGCCACACAGCACTTTAAGCACAGCACTTTAGAAGTTTACAACTTTAAAATTTATTGAATGACAGCCTTCTTTTTTTTGGGCAATCCTCTGTGGTGGAGTGGCTGGTTGGCCGGAGGCCCCCCCCACCACGTTCTTGGGCGTCTGGGTGTGGAGGCTATGGAACTTGGGGAGGAGGGCGGTTGGTTACAGAGGGGCTGCAGTGGCAGTCTGTGCTCCAGCTGCCTTTACTGCCTTTGCTCAACCATACACTGGAGCATACTGGTTTGGTCCTCCAGCAGCCTCAGCATTGAATCCTGCCTCCTCTCATCACGCTGCCGCCACATTTGAGCTTCAGCCCTCTCTTCAGCCCGCCACCTCTCCTCCCGGTCATTTTGTGCTTTCCTGCACTCTGACATTATTTGCCTCCACGCATTCATCTGTGCTCTGTCAGTGTGGGAGGACAGCATGAGCTCGGAGAACATTTCATCGCGAGTGCGTTTTTTTTTTTTTTTTTCTTCTTTCTAAGCTTCACTAGCCTCTGGGAAGGAGAAGATCCTGTGATCATTGAAACACATGCAGCTGGTGGAGAAAAAAAAAGGGACAGCGGTATTTAAAAAGACACATTTTATAAAACAGGTTTCAGAGTAACAGCCGTGTTAGTCTGTATTCGCAAAAAGAAAAGGAGTACTTGTGGCACCGTAGAGACTAACCAGTTTATTTGAGCATGAGCTTTCGTGAGCTCATGCTCAGATAAATTGGTTAGTCTCTAAGGTGCCACAAGTACTCCTTTTCATTTTATAAAACAGTGGCTACACTCTTTCAGGGTAATCCTTGCTGTTAACATTACATACATAGCACATGTGCTTTCGTTACAAGGTCGCATTTTGCCTCCCCCCACCGCGTGGCTACCCCCTCAACCTTCCCCCCTCCCTGTGGCTAACAGCGGGGAACATTTCTGTTTAGCCACAGGCAAACAGCCCAGCGGGAATGGGCTCCTCTGAGTGTCCCCTGAAGAAAAGCACTCTATTTCAACCAGGTGACCATGAATTATATCTCACTCTCCTGAGGATAACACAGAGAGATAAAGAACGGATGTTGTTTGAATGCCAGCAAACATACACTGCAATTCTTTGTTCTACAGTGATTCCCGAGTACGTGTTACTGGCCTGGAGTGGTAAAGTGTCCTACCATGGTGGATGGAATAAGGCTGCCCTCCCCAGAAACCTTTTGCAAAGGCTTTAGGAGTACATCTAGGAGAACCACGAATGCCAGGGCAAAGTAATCCTTTCACATGCTTGCTTTTAAACCATGTATAGCATTTTAAAAGGTACACTCACCAGAGGTCCCTTCTCCGCCTGCTGGGTCCAGGAGGCAGCCTTGGGTGGGTTCGGGGGGTACTGGCTCCAGGTCCAGGGTGAGAAACAGTTCCTGGCTGTCGGGAAAACCGGTTTCTCCGCTTGCTTGCTGTGAGCTATCTACAACCTCATCATCATCTTCTTCGTCCCCAAAACCTGCTTCCGTATTGCCTCCATCTCCATTGAAGGAGTCAAACAACACAGCTGGGGTAGTGGTGGCTGAACCCTCTAAAATGGCATACAGCTCATCATAGAAGCGGCATGTTTTGGGCTCTGACCCGGAGCGGCCGTTCGCCTCTCTGGTTTTCTGGTAGGCTTGCCTCAGCTCCTTAAGTTTCACACGGCACTGCTTCAGGTCCCTGTTATGGTCTCTGTCCTTCATGCCCTGGGAGATTTTCAGAAAGGTTTTGGCATTTCGAAAACTGGAACGGAGTTCTGATAGCACGGATTCCTCTCCCCAAAGAGCGATCAGATCCTGTACCTGCCGTTCGGTCCATGCTGGAGCTCTTTTGCGATTCTGGGACTCCGTCATGGTCACCTGTGCTGATGAGCTCTGCATGGTCACCTCCAGCTTGCCACGCTGGCCAAACAGGAAATGAGATTCAAAAGTTCGCGGTTCTTTTCCTGTCTACCTGGCCAGTGCATCTGAGTTGAGAGCGCTGTCCAGAGCGGTCAGAATGGAGCACTCTGGGATAGCTCCCGGAGGCCAGTACCATCGAATTGTGTCCACAGTACCCCAAATTCGAGCCGGCAAGGTCGATTTAAGCGCTAATCCACTTGTCAGGGGTGGAGTAAGGAAATCGATTTTAAGAGCCCTTTAAGTCGAAATAAAGGGCTTCATTGTGTGGACGGGTGCAGGTTTACATCGATTTAACGCTGCTAAATTCGACCTAATGTCCTAGTGTAGACCAGGGCTGTGACTTTCAAAGACCTCAGTGACTTCAGCAGCCGGGAGCTGTAGGGTCCTGCTGCTATCTGTGGTGGCTGAGAGCTGTGGGGCACCCCCGCCACTTCTGGCAGTGGGCCCCCCAAGCCCTGAGTCGCTGGTACAGGCTGCTCCTGGCTGCCACTGGGAGTACCCTGCAGTTCCCAGCTGCCTTTGGTGGAGGGGTACCCCCAGCTCTGAGCTGGCAGAGGGGGCCCCAGGACCTCCGAACTCAATACCTGGTGGGGGGTCCTCGGAACTCCCAGCCAGCCCCCGCAGCTGCCCAGCGGCTCCTCATTTTGTCAGTGATGTTTTTAGTAAAAAGAAAGATATTTTCAGGTCACAGGCTTCCGTGAATTTTTCTTTATTGCCTGTGACCTGTCCATGTTGTTTTCTAAAAATATCTGTGACAAAATCTTTGTCTTAATGATAACCAGTAGTTCATGTAACTCATCATTTACTGCACCCCTCCATGGGTTAAAAAATACGAAAGCTGAGTGTAATAGCCTTTTCATCTTAAAAAGGCTAAGACCCAGGAATGAGAATCCTATTGATGGTATTTTAAGCGAAACAAAATGAAAGGGCAAGTAACGTTCCTTTTTTGCAGTCGAAAGTTTTCAGTTTAACTTATTTGAGTCCCTATGCAATGATTCCAGTATTATTGGAATTTCAGTTAGACCATAATAGTTATATATTGTTGCTTTTGTTCTGAATCTTAATGTTCTCAAATTCATTTTTACCAATCATGGTGAGATTACATTACGGGAGTTCAGGAAGGAATAGCATAGTCTGATGTTTCTGTGGATCAAACTATATATCTTGTTAGGGTGTCTAAAGCATCTGTACGATATTTACCTGACAAAGAAAGGGAAGTCCTCTATGGCCTGTGTTATGCAGAAGGTCAGACTAGATTATTACAGAGTTCTCTTCTAGCCTTAGTATCTGTTGACAGTAACTGGTATAGAATTAGGATAAATCAATTCTTGATGGCCTATCAAAGTGCCTCAACCTTGACAGGGTTGTCTCTCTTCTTCTCTTGGGCTGGCTGAGTTTACACATAACATATTCCTGCAGATGGGAGGAGAAGCTCCTAGTCTGAAGAATCCCTGACTTCATCTTTTAGAGACTGAAGAAGTCAACTCTGCAGCTTTTCCAATGTCGTCTTTGCCAAGGTTCAAGCATTCCAACCCAGGTCAACAACTGGTAGCATCAAATATTCTTTACTAGTGACCTTGCTTATTAGCTTCTCTGGATGGTAGCACAGAAAACGTAGGCTGTCACATTTAAAAACAGGTCTTTAAATTTGCTTATTTGCCAGGATTGCACATTTTTAATGATGCCTCCATAAATGTTCTTTTCAGTTATGAGATTCCCACTGTGCAATTGGATTTACTGAGGTGGGACTTCATCTCTGACTGTCCTCAGTACTTTGACCGATCAGTGGCTATATAAAGCCCTGAGTGAGAGCACCATTTCTCAAGTTATTCCCTGATCTCGAATCATCAGTTACTGACCTTATTGATAGATGAACTCATCGGGGATGGAGCTAAATCCCCAGTTTAGTAGGCCAAACTCTGAAGATACTGCTGTCCGATCCAGACTGCAATTGATGCAGATAGGTGGGGCAGAACTGGGGTGGCCATGAAGTGGAACATTTTTAGGCTGGAAGTTACAAAGTGTCTAACCATCAGGGGCTCTGGAATAGCCTTCCAACAGGAGTAGTGGGAACAAACAGTCTAACTAGTTTTAAGATGGAGCTTGATAAATTTATCAGTGTGATTATATGATGGGGGTTGCTGGCAATATAGGACTTGACTCCAGTCCTATATTCTTATTAGGCTCCATAATGGAGCACTAAAGGAAGGTGTGGTCTTATAAAAGCCCATCTTCGTTCAGTGTTCTGCTCAGAAACTTTGTATATGAGGTTGGGATGAGAGCACCAGAAGATGTGGATCCCCCTCTCAGTTCTCAAAAGAATCACAGGTTTGGGGACCCAAAAGCAGATTTTAGGGATGGTGAGAGTTGTGGAGAGAGAAAATTAAAAGCAAATTGCTGAAAGGGAGAATGTCCGCTTGAAAGTTAGTCAAGTTGAGGAAAAAATGTGATTAATTTCATGTGCTACGCTTTCCCCTTAATCTCCCTGATAAATCTTTTTCTCTAATCTTTCAACTTCAGGAATTTAAGGAGTTGCTTGTAGCAATAGTAGGTACAATATTTCCAGAGACAAATGTGATTTAAAAAAAAATTTTTTTTTAGTCTAATGTTCCACTGATCAGTTAACTCACCAAACAAACAACCCAAAAGAACAGGAAACCTTAAATATTTGAATCCCTGCATTGAAAGAATGGGGGCATATTTTCTTTTTTCTCCATCCTGCAATAAAGATGAAATTGAAGCCACTGAAAAAGTGTTCATTTGGAACAATGGCTTTTGCTGTTCTTTGTTTTTAGATGGTGTTCCATTCCATTACAGGTTTAAGCTAAAAGGAACATTCCATCCTGAGAGTAGTTGTCACATTGATGTTACCACTGCCATGATTTGTAGGTACAAATAGCAAGATAGTGGTTATCACCGTTGAAATATAGAGAATTGGTATTAGTAATATAGAAAATGATCTGATTAGCCTAAGATTTAATTTTGTGGGTTGAATTGTGTTGTTTTAATTCCTATCAAACACTTGTTTAAAAACTCTTTCCCAAACTGTGGAAACAAGTACAGTTTGATGTTCGTAGCAGTGTGGCCTAGTTGTCAGAGCACAGAACCTGGAGTTCTTAAACACCCTGCCCTTGACTTGTTTTTGTGATCTTGGACAAGTGATTTAACCTCTGTTTCGCTGTTTAAGTGGTGGTCTTAATTTTCTACCTCAGACATGAGGATTGATTCATGCAATGTTTCCCAACTTGTGGGGCATGTCTCAGGCCATGTATATGCTATAATGACTATAGCAGTATAGCTATGGTGCCATAGCGCTACTGGCATAGTCCCATAATGTAGACACAGCCTACAGCAATGGAAGGGGTTTTTCTGTCGGTGTAGGAATGCCATCTCTCGAAGCGAGAGTAGCTGGGTCAATGGAAATATCCTTCCATTGACCTAGCTGCGTCTACACCAGGGAATAGTTCGGCATAACTACAGCTCTCAGGAGTGTGGATTTTTCACACGCTAGCTGGGTCAACCTAAATTTTAAGCATATACCAGGCCTCACTTGGCCAGTGTGAAGGACAAGCCATTGGAGGGCATAGACAGACCTCTCTATTCTTCACCAAAGTGTCAGCTTTCGTTTAAAAAAAAGTGTAGCTGTTATTGTTGCAAAGAAAACCTTCAGAGTATGAAGTTTATAACCAGTACCCGAGGCCACGTTTACACTATAAACTTACATCTCAAAAACTATTTCAGAGTAACAGCCGTGTTAGTCTGTATTCGCAAAAAGAAAAGGAGTACTTGTGGCACCTTAGAGACTAACCAATTTATTTGAGCATGAGCTTTCGTGAGCTCATGCTCAAATAAATTGGTTAGTCTCTAAGGTGCCACAAGTACTCCTTTTCTCTATAACTATGTCACTCGGGTGTAAAAATCCACATCCCTGGGCGACACAGTTATACTGACCGAAACCCCTGTTATAGATAGATGGAAGGGCTTCTCCCATCAACATAGCTACTGCCTCTATCTGAGATAGGAGAGTTTCTTCTGTCGGTGTAGTTAATCTATCAGATAGTAGAATTTTCACTGAAGCGCTACAGTGGTGTAGCGTTTTAAGTGTAGACCTGCCCTGAGTTTGTAGAGAGCCAGAAACAATAGCTCTTTGGTGTGAATTGCCCCTTTCGTTTCAGTGGGTGCTAACTCAGGTGCCAGTGGTGATACCTTAAATGTCAGCATTGTTAACTCTTTCACCTCTCTTCAGACCAAATAAGAAAGGAGAAGTATCATTATCTACGCTTTCATTTAGTAAAGTAGAGCAATGAGGTGGAAGGTGTATAAATTAAGATGTGTAGGCTGTATGCACACATGGCAGGGTTGCAGGGGCAGGGATGGGGCTTCAATTGGTTTCATTTTCCTGATGCTCAGTGTGAAAAATTTGGGAAATACTGGAATAATGCTTGTAAAGGAAGTGCTCCATTTAATGCTGGGCTTGTATCTACACTACTTTTGGTCAATGCAAATTACTGTGGTGCACAGCCAGTGAAGTTTGTATATTGCACAATTGCATGCATACTTGGCTGCATGGGCCAGCACTGTGCATGCTCCCCAGGAGTGCTTGTGTTATGCAAAGTGTGGTACACCACAGGAAGGTATCCCAGTGTGCTACGTGCCACCATCTGGTTAGGCTTAAAATTTGGGAATTTTTTACAGTGTGTTATGAAATAGAAATGACTTACCCAGGTATTTCTGGGAGCCACAAGTCAAGTTCCCAGCATGCGACTGTCTCCATCCATGTCCCATAATTTTCTCACCTTTTTGATGTCTGCTATCTCTGACAGATGTATAAAGCCTGCAAGGCTATGCACTATTCTCATAAATGTTGCAAATGCAGGACACAATTTTCCTGTATTTGCAGATCCTCTGGAAATACTGCAGCAATAGGGGACACGATGATTTCTTAGACAACAATTTTCTAAGGGACATATGAAAAAGAATTCAGGGTTGTTGGTGTTTACAGAGCAACTGCAGATGATGGAGCCTGAGAAATGAGCATTGACTGGTGGGATTGCATCATAATGCAAGTTTGGGATGATGAGCGGTGGCTGCAGAACTTTGGAACATGAAAGCCACATTCCTGGCTCTGTGTGCCAAGCTCAACTCAGTTCTCTAGTGCAGGGACACCAGAATGAGAACTGCACTGAGAGTGGAGAAGCGACTGGTGATCACACTCTGGAAGCTTGCAGTGCTGGATTGCTATGCATCAGTTGGAAATCATTTTGGAGTAGAAAAATCCACATTGGGGGGCTGTTGTCATGCAAGTGTATAGCACCATTAATCATCTCCTGCTATGCAGGACTAACTCTGGTGGAGGATTTTTAGCAGTGGGGTTCCCAAAGTGCAGTGGGGAATGCATATCCGTATTTTGGCCCCAGCCCACCTTGCCACCAAGTACATCAACAGAAAGGGCTACTTTTCTATGGTTATGCAAGCATTGCTGGATCACCAGGAACACTTCACTGATATCCGTGTGGGTTAGTCAGGGAAGGTGGCTGGCTCTTGCATCTTTAAGAGCATAGGATTCTTCAGAAAGCTGCAAGCAGGGATGTTCTTTCCTGACCAACAGATTACCAGTGGTGATATTGAAACGCCAATAGCTATTCTGGGGGCACCTAGTCTACCCCTTGCTGCTGGCTTATGAAGCTGTGCATTTACCTCAAGAACAGACTCAGGGATTCCAGAGTAGCCCTTCTGTTGGTTACTTTCAGGGTCCCCAGATGCTGACTTATTAATCTGTTCCTGCAAGGTGAAAGAAGGGGGCTGCCCTAGTGAAATTGCCAAGATTTACCAAGATTCTCCCTATATCCTTCAGGAAACTCCTCAGAACAGACTAGATCTGTTTACCTGTGGGAGGACACTGATACAGCCCTCCACTCAAAGAATTGACATCCAGGCTGTACACTTTCCAAAACAAAGTATTTTCTTTATTTAACACATTTTCCCTGATCCAATTAATCTAAACATAAATCAAAACAAAAATCCATTAGCACAATCCTTGGGTACAGGTTAAAAGTACCTGAACCATAAACATATAGTTAAAGCAATACTAAGTGACTGTATTATGCATGTGGTGATCAGTCATCTGCAGTTGCTGACAGCAATCTTATATTTAAGGCAAGTCTACACTACCGCATTACATCAGCTGTGCCACTGTAGTGCCTGGTGTAGATGCGCTGTGCCGATGGGAGAGCGCTCTCTCGTCAGCATAATTACTCCACCTCATTGAGAGACAGAAGCTATGTCGACAGGAATGCATCTGGACAGCTCTTTAAGTCGATGTAACTTATGTCTCACAGGGGAGTGGGTTTTTCACACCCCTGAGCAACGCAAGTTACATCAACTTAAGCAGTAGTGTAGACAAGCCCTTAAACTTTATACATATAGAACAGTGTAACATTCATAACACAAACACGCATCTTTATTAACCGAAACATACACGCATATACTTATTAATCCTATTTTTATTCTACATTTACACTATAGCTAGCATGCTTATTCTCTGTAGGTGTCTCTTCCTCTGCTCTGTCAAGGTCCTTCTGCTCTGTCCCAGGTGCTGCTACTCGCTGCTCCTGACCTTTCAACTGACTGAGAACCACACGCTTTGGCTGCTGACTGTCTGCCTTATATACATATTTTGGCCTGTTCTGATTGGTTATTTTTTCACCCCTTCCTTATCTTCCAATCAAATTTAGACCCTTTCTGATTGGTCTGTACTTATAGTCCAATCACAGCTACTAAATCTAACCTTCAATCAAAGCTGTTACGTAACAAGTCTTAGTATTATAGTCTGTTTACTTTTATGGTCTGGTGACCCTCACCTAGTTTTGGGGAAGTATGCCTGACTGACCTCACCCTGCAGTGTTGGAGTAACATTTACTTGGCCCAAGTCTCATTTGTCTGCCTCGGGAAGCCGGGGAGCTCGCCGGATAACTCGGAGGCAGAAGTGTATTGCCATGTGTATGGACCAGTACATGAACGCCTGGAACACAGTCTCACGAGCATACAACTTCCGGCTGCAGAGGGAGAGAGCCAACATGTAACCGGCTTCCAGCAGCCCTGACAACATGCTTCAGTACTGCCCCCTGCTCGGGAAGAGTGACTTGACTCCTGGGCTAGCCAGAGTGGCCCAGTGAGAATGAAAGGAAAAGTGGTGGGAGTGAAATCCCTGTGATTTGGAAATTTCATCATGGTAGAGCAATAAAGCCATGTCTGGAGCCTCTCCCCGTTTAAAAACAAAACAACAACAATACTAACCATAGGCAAACCCAAAAACTGCTATTTCACTCTTCTTGGCTGTGTGCCAACGTTTTACACACCCCAGTTTACCAAAACTATTAAACTATAAACAATTACCTCATCCCTTTTAATCTGTATCCAACTGTTAATTTATGCATCCTAATGCTAAGGTCTGCTGTTGCCACTCTATTTCTTAACAACCTAGTTAATTTTATTTTAGTTCTTCTCTTATTTTTCAATTAATGGTGGCAAGTCAGTGGTTTCAGTGCTGTGCTTAGGAAACAGAATAGAGCAGCTCAAAATCTTTCTTATCTATGTACTTGCCACCTCGATGGCACCAAGGAAAGATTCAACTATCAGCTCAGCAGGTTCAGAACAACTTATTGAACATGCTTTTTGTAGGTTGAAAGGATGCTTGTGGTATTTATTCACTGGATTGGATCTCAGTGAGAAAAATAACTCCATGGTTATAGCTATATGTTGTGCCCTCATAATATTTATGAGGCAAAGGGAGAAAAGCTGTTGCCAAGTTGAGGGCAGAGGTAGAGTGGCTGTCTGTTGAATTTGAACAGCCAGACACAAGAGCCATTACAAGATCTCAGTGTGGAGCTATCCAGGTGAGGGAGACTTTGAAAGAGCATTCTAACGGTCATCCACAGTAGTGTTTTCTGGTCCTGGAGGTTCGAGTGCTGCTAAAAATCGTGTAGTGCTTGCTTTACATTTATAACTGACTGGGTGTTTTCCTGAACCAAGAATTATGTGGTGCTTGTTGTGCATTTACAAATGCTCTTTGCTTTGGTTACTCTTATGCATTCTGAAATATTAGTTGTGAACTAATAAAGATAACTTCATTCTCCAAAAACAGAACTTTATTGAGTTGGAAAAACTGTGCAAAAAAAAAAGGCAATATAATACCATTTATTGTAAATATAATTTTATTTTATTTAAATTAACAGAGTGAATCTTTAAAATTAGGATTTAGTCTTTGGCTACAAGTACACAAACTGTTTTTTTTTTTTTTTTTTTTTCCATGTCAGGGTAGGTGAAGCTGTGTTTTCCTTGCTGTCCCCTGGCGTGGAGTGGTAGGGTAAGGATGCGACCTGTGATACAATGTAGTATGTTGTAGGGTATAGGGAGCAGTAAGCATGGAGATCTCAAAGATTTGCAATGGGTGGGAAGTCTGGGATTTTTGGACCTGTAGGTCAACCAGGATCTACAGTTTGTTGCTTGAGAAGACACATTATTTCCTGTTGCATTTCCTTCTGGAATGCTGAGCCTTTCACCAGTCTTCTCGGTCTTTCTCCATGCTGTTGGTCATATTGGGCCTCCAGGCCCTTTGTTTGTGGCACTAGCTTGCAGGATCCCACAGACCGTATCCTCTTTAATCCTCTTCTCTCTCCACATCAGGGTCAGGTGTTCTGCAGGCATGGAGGGGCACCCTTAAGGCTGCCACACCAGAAGCTGCTGATAAAGAAGACGTACCATTGGATTTAGAGTCAGAAAAAAAAGAGAGAGATTAGTTTCAAAACTCCCTTTCCATATTCCTATAAATACTTCAGCTAGGAAATGCTTATTGATGTTTCAGCTTTGGACCACCTCAGTACAGCACCACTCTCCAGTCCCAGCCATGGTGGGTATGGCCCACCATCGGAGAATTTTCTGTTGCATGAAACTATAAAATTTCAGTCTCTATTCCCTGCATATGAGCGTAGGGTAATGGTACTGAATATTAGCACTGTTTTCTGTAGGTAGTGGTGATTTTAGCTGATATCTCACTCCTGAGGGTCACAATGGCACAGAGAACACAGCTGCTACTGGTGCCCTGAAACCGCTTGGGCCCATATGCCACTAGCCCATTTACTGCAATGGTGACAGCCTAACTTATCACAGAGCAGCATGGGAAAGTGTCCTACTGTGATAGAGGAAATAAAGCAACTGTCCCTGGAAAATTTCAGGAGAGGATTGCAGAGTACCTCCATAAAACTTTCCCCAAGATCTCTCAGGAGGCTAAAAAGGACATACCTGGACACTTAATCGGAATCCTGCACAGGCTTCCTTCTCATCTCCAGCCCCCACTCCCTACAATCCAACAGGGGAATGAAAAACAGATGCCCACTCTACCTCTGCTTGTTGAATCTCTGCCTCTTCTTTTATGAATAAAACAATGAAAAGTCTGTACCTTTCTCTTGATAACTGGCAACATCTTTAAATTTAAACTTTGTAAGGAAAATGCATGCTCATCCATGCTCACCTGATGGGACTGGGTATACTGTGGCAGAGTCTCAAACAGGTCCTGGCTCATGGCATGGCTGGAGTCCTCTGCTGCATCTTCCTCTTCCTCCTCCTCATTGTTCATGGAAGTGGTCTCAGTCTCAAGCTCTTCCGAGGTATCCATAATGGTCTTTGGGGTGCTGGTAGGGTCTCTGCCAAATATGACATACAGTTCCTTGTAGAAGCTGCAGGTCTGCGGTGTAGCACCAGATCTATCCTTGCGCTCCCTGGCAAAGTCCCTTCACTTTCATATGGCAGTGCTGCTGATCCCTGTCATACCCTTTTGCCTGCATCCCTCATACAATATGATCTTAGATGTCTATGTTTGTACGGCTGGTCCTTAGCTGTTGTTGCACAGTCTCTTGTCCCCACAGGCCCAGGAGATCCAATACTTCCTGTCTAGTCCAGGCAGGAGAACTTCTAGCGCGTGGAGCTGGCATGGTTGTTTGGGCAGTTGCACACAACAATGGCAAGCTGGTAGGTATGCTTGCCAATGTGGGCAATTAGGAAAAGTCACTTCAAAAACATGCAGGGAATTTTAAAGGGGGTGGTGGCTTCTGGTCTCTGTAACCCCTGGCAGTGGAGTATAAATTGTGACTAGAGTGGTCACTGCTGCAGGGAATGGGGTATTGTGGGACGACTGCTGGAGGACTGTTAGGGTTGACACAGGTCATGCAGTGTATACGCTCGCACTGTGTCAATTTCAGTTGTCTGTGTGCCATTCAGGGAAGTGATTGTAGTGTGTCACTGCAATAGAGCACTTATGTTGGCCAAAGACAAATTGGAGTGTAGACATGCACAAATAGGTTGATGCAAGGCATCTTAGTTCAGCCTAACTTTGTAATGTAGACCAGTCTAAGTCTTTAGGGAAGTTTTATGCCCTGTGTTATTCAGGAAGTCTGGGTTGATGATCATAATGGTCCCATCTGGACTTGGAATCTATGAATTCACATCATCAGAAGAGGAAACACTTCCAAAAAGTGTTGAGTACTACTCCATGACATCAAAATGGAAGTTACTGTGAATGTTTGTAACACATTTAAAAAAAAAAAACTCTTATCATTGCCATATCAGATCTATGTGCCATTGAGAGCTCTAGGTTTCTTCAAATGGTCACAAGTGTGTCTGATTTGTGATGATGATTTTTGTGCATTGAATTAGTTGGTCATGTATTTATGAACATTTTAATAGGGGTATCAGCCAAGATTTTAATAAAGTATGAAGAACACACTGTCAGTGTCTCTGAGAAGGAAAATATTAAATATTTGAAAGCTTTCAATAACACTAAACTTATTTTAGAAATTTCTTAAAGACTAAGGCCAGGTCTACACTACAAGTGTTTGCAAGCATAGCTGTGCCTGTCAAGGGTGTGATGAGGTGTGATCTCTCACTGACCTAGCTGTGCTGGTAAAAGTACGTAGTGTAGATGCAGTTATACCAACAAAACTGCACTTTTGCAAGTATAGCTTATTTTACTCGGGGGGCTGGAATAAGCCATACAGCTAAAAACAGAGTTGCCTGAATAAACTGTATCCACACTAGGAGTGCTTTGCTGGAGTATACTGACAGAGAGCTCCCCGTGTAGACCTCGCCTGAGTTAAAGGTTGTAGGAGGCTTTACAGGTCAAGAAATATTTGCGGGGGGCTTGAAAAAAGGACGTATAATTGGGCTTGTCATTTTTAGAGTTAAGTTAATGTATGATATGTCCTCTGTACAGGTTTTACTTGTTTTTATCTGTTTTCCTCTGTGCAGACCTTTCATTGCTGAGGTTCATCAGTGCTGAACTAACAAGAGGTTACTTCCTTGAACATAATGAAGCAAAATACACAGAACGGCGAGAGAGAGTATACACATGTATGCGAATACCAAGAGAATTGGAAAAGGTGAAGTATTCTTAAGATGTTTATTTTGGTTTACCTATTCAAACCATAGCTGTCATGTTAAGGTATTTAGAATCATTTAATTCTTCAAAACATATTTTTAAATTAAGAGCTTTGTTTACAAACACCAATTGTGGTGGTAGTTAATTTATTATTTTGAGATCAAACTTGCTGCTGCTCCTCCTCACTCTGATTCCAACTTGCAGTGTGTGGGTGGTGGTCACATGCCGATATCATTAGCAGAAGATAGAAGGCAGTTGAACTAATCTAATTGCAAGTCCTGAGCATCAACAAATAAAACAAAATTCACCTGCTACTTGCAGTCAGAAAATAAAAGCAAGGATTGGAGAAAATGCATTTGATCTCAAAATTCACTTCTGCTTTTACAGTAAAACACCAGTGTTTTTTTTTTTTTTTTTAAAGCCCTTCCTAATCTAAAAGCATATTGGGGTGAAAATGATACCAGCTCTTTAAAAGTGTGTCACTGTGGCTGTTACTCCATTAATAACAATGCAGTTGAATTTTCATGAGGTGTCGTCCCCCCGTCCCCCCGCCATTCCTTTCCCAGAATCTAAATAGAAAAGAATATGATCTTCACAATTGATAGTCTGGGGCATAGGAAAAAAAATTTTGGGCCAAATTTAAAATAAATTAGGGGAAAGGATTCCTGATCTGACATAATGGTGTGTTCAGAAAGTCTTCAAATTGTTTTGTCACTCTGTAACCACCCCCCTCATCCTCCCCCCCCCCAAAGGGTAAGGTAAAAAATTTAATTCACTGAAGTCATCTAGTTAGCATCTGCTGCATAGGATCAAATTTTAGTTTATAAGACCCACATTTTAAAAAAAATAGTTTTTTAAATAGCAAGATCAGAACCTGCTGAGGTAACAATGGCTTGCATGCAGCCCCAGACACCAAGTTGGGAAGCAGGTGACAGCTAAGGGAAGAGGTTGTTTACTCTCCAAATCTCCTGCCCAGAGTGTAGGAAAAAGGAGGGTATGTCTCCCTGCTTTGCTGGGTTCCTGCTTTCTCCACTTCCTTATGACCGTTCGCTCCTGAGCATCTTTCACAGGTAGAAAGGAGAAGCAGAAGAGATTGAGGGACATTCTTTTTCTTCTTGTGCGTCTCCCAAGATCTGCTAGAGTGGAATAATGACATCACAAGAATGAAAATTGAGCAGTTGAAGGGAAATACTTTTTTTGTCCAACTGTTCAAAATTCTGTTTTCATATTTCTGTTGACCCCTATTTACTACCAGTGACTGACAAATATTTAAATAGATGAACTTTTGTTAAAGATTCAGCAGTCAAATCTCTTCATCTAACTTGTTGGAGTTTACAATAAATATTCCTGAGATCACCTGGATATCCTCTAGAAAAAACAGGGCATAGCAGACTTGACATAATTTTTTAAAATCTTTTATATATCATAAAAAAAGGGCAGAATTCCAGTTTTTCGAAAGTTCTTTGCAGATCACCTAGAAGATGAAACTAAAATTCAGATTACATGTCAGTAACTTAAGGGTAAAAGTCCTTAGAATATTGATTAGCAACAACCTTAAAAAGCCAAGAAATACAGTGCTAAGGTTAAACTTAAAAGAAACCCAAACATGCAAAAGAATGACCATAAGTGTGTAAACTGCCTAACTGTTTAACCATACCAGTCTCCCTTATTCCCTTACTGTTTCCTTTTTTAGCTACTTAATAAAGTGATGTTTTTGAACTAATGGCTTCAGCACCTTTTAATGCTGATCTTCCCATTTCCCACTGTATTTCTGTGATCATTTGCCTTAAGCAAAGCTATATCATATATGGAGAGGAAAGCTATCTATTTCTCTCCAAGTCTACGTTAAACTGTGATGTCTCTTAGCAGCTGGCTTTTCTCTCCTGGGATTCCTGTGATGCTGGAACAGTGTGTAGTTCCATTTCACTTTTGACTTAGGTCATAAGCTTGAATTGTACATGAGCATAATTACATTTAGAGACATTGCCAGATATTATTCATACAGTCAACAGTGAAGACATAAACAACTCACATCAGGAAAGTGACTGGGGGAGAGAATACTGTTCCCTTCCAACAGCCAGAAGGGGGTGAGGAGGGATTAAAGTTTGACCAGGAAAAAAGAGAAAGCACTGCATATATCTACACTGTCTGTGACGACAGACTTGCTTTTGACAGGGCTTGTGCTAGCCCTCTAAAAATAGCTTTGTAGGTGGTGTTTTGAAGTTGTAGCTTTAGCTTTGAAGCCTAGGGAGAGGTTTGCTTGCTGGTGGTCAGCTCCCCAACTCCACGGACAACACAAGCACTCAATGCTAGGCCTGCACAGGCCCTGCTGCCCATCTACTTGTTAGCAGTAGGCCAGTAGGAGGAACATTTGTGGGGGTGTGGCAGGGCCTGGGTCAGCCTCCATGGAGGCTGTGGAGGGAGCACCACCCAGCCCCGCTTTTCCCCCCGCTCTGCTCCGGTCCAGCCACGGCTCTGCTCCTGCCTGCAGCTGTGGCTCCAGCTTCGGCCCCTGGCGCCCGGCCTGCTGCAGTTCCATACCCAGCTACAGCCTGAGCCTCAGCCCTCAAAAGTGGTCTACTCCTGGCCCTGGCCCCAGCCTCGGCTCTGTTCCAGGCCCCGCTCCCAGCCTCAGACCAGGTCCCAGCCTCAACCTCCTTATTTCTATCCACGTATTCTCCTCCCCGCACCCCCAGAGCTGTGGCCCAGCTCCCACCCGTGGCTCTCTGGGTGGGGGCATAAACAGAGGTAAGGGGGGGCATGATGTGAAAAGTTTGGGGATCACTGCAGTAGGCACACTTCAATCCCCGAGCCTTCTCTGAGAATCTCTCTGGAGTGTGCAGCCCCTGTTCCAGTGGACACTTGTATTCACAGATTCACTGCTTGCAAAGAACAATACACCCCAGCTTACCAGTTACACCTCAGATCACTTTTCCATTTAACACACTTTTCTTAGATACATTTGTAATAAAAACAAGTAAAAGCTTATTTAGCAAAATATAGAGATTCAAGTGGTAGCCAGTAGAAGTACTGGAAACAAATGGCTATGTATAAAATAAAATTATAACATGCATTCTGGAACCTAGATTTACTTAATTAGGTATTTTCATTTCTTACAGACCAATGATCACCCAAAGTCCATCCAACATTTTACAGCCAGGCTTGGCTGTGATCTTCCATTCATGAGACAAGTCATGATGTCAGTTTGCCTCCTTAGTGAAAGACCGTGGGTGCCTGTTCGTACCCCAAGATATAATCAAACAATCCATTGTCATTGATAAGTAGGACACCCCCCTGCTGGTTGTTTTTTCACATCTACTCCTTTTGTGTAGGTTTTGCAATCTCTTATGCTGTGTCTACGCTATCACTGGCGATGTCCTGTAGGGGACATGTAGCTACATGCTGAAGTGAAGAGCAAGTTGCGTCCACATTGCCAGGTGTGGCTATGTGGCTACTCACGTCAGTGAAGGGCTCTGATTTAGGGAGGCAGTGGGGAAAGCCTTCAGCAACCCCCCACTACTGGAGCACTGCAATGAGGAAAGGCTCTGGTCGAGACAGAGGGGAAAGAGCTTCCTGAGCGTTTCCCCAGTAGCTGAGTCTTTGGCTATGGGGAAAAGCTCCAGTAATGGGGAGCTGACGGAGGCTTTTTCTGCTGCTGAAGTCCTTCCCTGAGGTGGGGGAATAGCTCCAGCAGTGGAGAGCTGCTGGAGTGGCAGGAAAGGCTCCAGCAGCCCGGAGGCAGCAGAACATTCATAGAATCACAGAATATGAGGGTTGGAAGGGACCTCAGGAGGTCATCTAGTCCAACCCCCTGCTCAAAGCAGGACCAATCCCCAACTAAATCATCCCAGCCAGGGCTTTGTCAAGCCTGACCTTAAAAATATCTAAGGAAGGAGATTCCACCACCTCCCTAGGTAACGCATTCCAGTGTTTCACCACCCTCCTAGTGAAAAAGTTTTTCCTAATACCCAACCTAAACCTCCCCCACTGCAACTTGAGACCATTACTCCTTGTTCTGTCATCAGCTACCACTGAGAACAGTCTAGATCCATCCTCTTTGGAACCCCCTTTCAGGTAGTTGAAAGCAGCTATCAAATCCCCCCTCATTCTTCTCTTCCGCAGACTAAACAATCCCAGTTCCCTCAGCCTCTCCTCATAAATCATGTGTTCCAGTCCCCTAATCATTTTTGTTGCCCTCCGCTGGACGTTTTCCAATTTTTCCACATCCTTCTTGTAGTGTGGGGCCCAAAACTGGACACAGTACTCCAGATGAGGCCTCACCAATGTCGAATAGAGGGGAACGATCACGTCCCTCGATCTGTTGGCAATGCCCTTACTGATGCATCCCAAAATGCCATTGGCCTTCTTGGCAACAAGGGCACACTGTTGACTCATATCCAGGTTCTCATCCACTGTAACCCCTAGGTCTTTTTCTGCAGAACTGCTGCCTAGCCATTCGGTCCCTAGTCTGTAGCAGTGCGTGCGGTTCTTCTGTCCTAAGTGCAGGACTCTGCACTTGTCCTTGTTGAACCTCATCAGATTTCTTTTGGCCCAATCCTCTAATTTGTCTAGGTTCCTCTGTATCCTATCCCTCCCCTCCAGCGTATCTACTTCTCCTCCCAGTTTAGTGTCATCTGCAAACTTGCTGAGGGTGCAGTCCACACCATCTTCCAGATCATTTATGAAGATATTGAACAAAACCAGCCTGAGAACCGACCTTGGGGCACTCCACTTGATACTGGCTGCCAACTAGACATGGAGCCATTGATCACTACCCGTTGAGCCCGACAATCTAGCCAACTTCCTATCCACCTTATAGTCCATTCATCCAGCCCATACTTCTTTAAGTTGCTGGCAAGAATACTGTGGGAGACCGTGTCAAAAGCTTTGCTAAAGTCAAAGAACAACACGTCCACTGCTTTCCCTTCATGCACAGAGCCAATTATCTCCTCATAGAAGGCAATTAGAGTAGTCAGGCATGAATTGCCCTTGGTGAATCCA